ACGAAATCGCCAGTTGCATTTTAAGACGTGGACTTCCACAGGAAGCCCACGTAAATAGCAAGTAATACAAATTAAGCAAAATAATATAAAAAACTTCTGAAATTGCAAGAATTTTACTAGTACCAGGAGTAATACTACAATGTAGGTCACGTTTCCGAGGATAGGCATATATCATATAACGGCAGTAAAATATGAATGTATAGAGAGGAAAACATATTACTATTGTATATGTAGTAAGTATGCTAAGATTAGATTCTTTGATAGGATACATGTATATGGATGTTTTGAAACATTTTAGACATATTACAGTCATAGAATAAAAATGAAATGAATTATTCCCATCAACTGAAGATTTGAAAAACATTTTTACAGGAAAGTATGATGTCCATGTTAAATGGAATGGACGACACATCCCAAAGAGYCCCTTCAGAGTTGAAGTTGCTTCTGATCTTGATTCTCGCAARGCRTATGCAGAAGGACCTGGTCTTGCACCAACTGGTGTCGTTGCTGGAAAGTACACTGAGTTTACWGTCCACACAAAGGGTGCAGGTGAAGGAAAAGTTACTGTCAAAGTGATTGATCCACGTGGAGGTGAAGATGTTGATGTCATTGTKGAACCACAAGARGATGGCAAATATCTGGTTGAGTACCARCCTGTAAATGCTGGMAAACATACCATCAAGGTTATGTTTGGTGGCCAGCCCATTCAAGGCAGCCCATTCCATGTCAATGTTAGTCCACCTAAGATTGATCCTATACCATCTAAGGTCAAAGTATTTGGACCTGGTATGTATCCAGAAACAATGTAACAATCTTTAGTATAAACATACTAATGGTCTATCACTCATACTGCGCTGTGATTGGCTACTCTACTAATGGTCTATCACTCATACTGCGCTGTGATTGGCTACTCTACTAATGGTCTAATTTGTGATAGACCACTCGCGGGAAAAGCAAAATAAATAAATTATAAATTATTTTAAGGATATTTCAATTTGTTTTCATTATTTGACCGATTAGTATGTTTATACTAAAACAATTAGACCTCTCGGCCTCGTGGACTATGAGCTAATAGCCCATTCGGCCTTGCGGACTCGGCCACATGGGCTATTAGATCGTAGTCCACTCGACCTCGAGGTTAATTAGTTAAAAAAGGTCCTGCAAAAGGCTGGCATCCATACCTTACATTCAGTTTTTTTTTACAATCATAAGTCAGACACATGCTTCGAACATGACAGAAGTTTAATGGTAAATTTATTTCCATTATATATTCTACATTAAGAATGAGCATACAGTTGTACTGTTTGGCACTGATAAATACTATACCAGAATGAAATATACTTTTTAAAGAACAAAATGTTTTTTATCTTGATTGACATGTTTTAACATGCTACCAAAAGGCATCATCAGAGTGGCAGAACAACAGAACCTAACTATATATGGTGTGCATTTACTAAATAACAGAGCTAAATACTATTGAATTTACTTCTAAGGTATACAGCCAACTGGAGTTAAAGTTGGTATGCGTGCTCCATTCACTGTGGATACAAGAGGAGCAGGAGATGGTGAACTTGATGTCTTTGTGGAAGGTCCACTTGGAGAGGAGAAAGTCGACATCAAGAACAAACAGGATGGCACCTATGAATGTGTGTATCATCCACAGAAGTTTGGCCAGTATGTTGTGACTGTTACTTGGAGTGCTGTTCAAGTGCCAAAGAGTCCATTCCATGTCAAAGTTGCTCCAGCAGTTGACGCAAGTAAGATCCGTGCATATGGTCCTGGCCTGGAAAAAGGTAAGAACTGCAAATGGCATCTCATTAGCCCACATATTCATAAATCATACATTTTGGATGCAGCTGTTGAACAGCTTGCCTTAAACCAAAACCTTCCTACCTCTTGAAATTAAAGCATCGAATCACACCACTTTGATTGTTTAATGTATCAGGTGTTGCTGGAAAGCCTTGCCACTTTACTGTGGAGACCAAAGGAGCTGGTATCGACAGTCTTGGATTTGCTGTGGAGGGTCCTGCCCAAGCTGAGATCAAGTGTGTTGACAGAGGTGATGGCAAGTGTGATGTCACCTACTATCCTACTATTCCTGGAAAATATGCTGTGCATGTGACATGTGGTGATGATGATATTCCCAAGAGTCCATTTATGGTACCGATTTCACCTGCTGGTGATGCCTCTAAGGCATATGCCAAGGGACCTGGTCTTGAGCCACAGGGTATTTGTGCAGGTATGCATTTCCAATCCAGTATCCTAGTCATTCGTGCGCTGTGATTAGCTAGCGTGTGGTCAGGTATTTCACGATTTGCCTGGTCCACAGTATCTTGCAACTAGGATGCAAGCAAAGTTGCAGAAAATACAAATAAAAAAAAAGTTATTTACTGGTCGGTCCGTATAGAAAAACACTACCCTCACTCTTTTATATTGAGCTCGGTTTGACTGTCATGACCTCGAGCAGTGTTTTCCTATATGGAYCTCCCAACTGGTAAATAACATGATRTATACTTWCAAATTATAATGTTCATTCATGAAGTAGATGTAACAAAAGTCTGCCATGAGGTCCAAYTATAGGCCCAGGTCTGGTCCCTGTTCGGTTGTACAAGGGGTGGATAAAGTTATTCAAAGCATAAGTTAATCATTTAATAGATCTTAAAGGTTTTTTTCTGCATTGGGTAAGGATTTTATTTTGTCATTAGCACTATCTACCCTTCACATAACTAACTCCAGGTAATGTACAGTACAATGAAATTAAGAATGGAAAATACATAAAATCTCTATTCTATTTCTTTTGCCCAGGTGCCCCAGCYGAGTTCACAGTGTTCACTAAAGATGCCGGCGATGGTGATGTTGATGTCAAAGTGATGGATGGCAGTGGCAAGAAAGTACCAGTAGAAATTGTTGACAACAAAGATGGTACCCACGCCGTGACTTACTATCCAGATAAACCAGGCACATACACTGTAACTGTACATTTCAATGACCAACCCATCCCTAAGAGCCCCTTCAAGGTCAATGTTGGCAAAACCAACCCAGCGAAATGCCGTGCCTATGGTCCAGGTTTGGAGAAAGGCTTTGTCAACCAAGTCAACAAATTTAAGATTGAAACTAAAGGTGCTGGTGAAGGAGGTCTTGGGCTCACCATTGAAGGGCCATCAGAAGCTAAAATTGAATGCAAAGACCTTGGTGATGGTTCTTGTGACGTGGATTACTGGCCAAATGAACCTGGTGATTACATGATCAACATCCTCTTTGCTGACCAACACATTCCAGGCAGTCCATTCAARGCCAGGATAACACATCCATTTGAYCCAACCAAAGTTAAGGTTGAGGGTCCTGGAATTGAGCCAGGAATTCGTGCAGGGGAACCAGCWGATATTGATATTGACACTCGTCTTGCTGGGGATGCTCCTCTTGAAGTCACTGTTGTTGACGAGCTTAACTCTCCAGTCAAATGCGACATTGAAGAAGAAGAATTTGGACTTCATGCTGTCACTTACTTCCCACAGAAGAAAGGTAAGTTAAATGCATAGTGAAAACTTGACATCGCCTATAGACCACTACCCTTATGTAATAATTGAACCAGTACTGCATTTGCATAAAATATAATAATTTGCAATACTCTTGTTTTATATACATTTTTAAACAAATTCATCCATGGCCATGTCTAGCAATTATTGAAATCTGGTCATGCGGAGGATTAGGAAGCCTGACAAAGCAAAACATTTACCTTGTGTATTTTAATACAGGAAATCACAAAGTCAATGTCAAGTACGGCTCAAAGCATGTTCCTGGAAGTCCTTTCAAAGTCCCAATCTCGCCCTCATCGGATTCTTCTAAAGTCAAAGTGTCAGGACCTGGCGTCGAACCTCACGGAGTTGAACCAAATAAACCAACTTATTTCAACATTGCTTGTGAAGGAGCTGGTAAAGGAGACGTCCACGTTGGCGTAGAACCAGCAGGTAACTAAAAATTGAAGATTATGTTTGTGTAAATCCAAAATGTGAGGTCAAAATACATCGCCTATTTAACCAAAATGTGCGCTCGCGTCGTCGATTTCGCGCCAAACATTTTTTAGGCACGTGATTGCTTCTTCTGTCAATGATTGGACAGCTATAAAAGAACTAATCGATAAGGTCGGGGAAACACATTTTGTAGTCGTAGAAAATCAAAATCAAAACAAAACAATAAAAACGACTAGCTACTAACAAGACATACAAACTGCTATAATTTCCATTTCTATTACTTCAGCTAAAGGACTCAAACCAGTTGAAAATATCACAGTAAAAGAAGAAGCCAAAGATCTTTTTAGATGTGAATACGTCGCGCCCAGTGAAGGACCATACAATGTCAATGTGTCGTTCGCCGACAAGCCTGTCCCTAAAAGCCCTTTCAAGGTCAATGTACAAAAGAAAGGTGACGCTGGCAAGTGCAAAGCTCAGGGAGATGGTTTGGAAACCGCCACTATTGATATGCTGGCAGAGTTTGATGTTGATTGCTCAAAAGCAGGTTGGTCACGCATTGATTAGGGTCGGATCATGTGATATCCGTTGTGGGTGGAGTATTGAATTCCGAAAAAACACTGATCATAGCTAAATGTAATGGAGCAATAAGCACATGGTTTGGCAGAGTGAAAGACGCACTAYTTCCATAAGTCGTAGTATTTGCTCCTCTTCGGACAAAAATATCGACAGAGAGGGAACTGGTACCGACTTATTCAAATCCATTTTAACTTGAATCTTTGTAATCTAAGGTGATGGACAGCTCATGGCTACAGTAACCAATCCCTCTGGCGCCCACACAGACACTCTAGTAACAGACAACGAAGATGGCTCATATAGTGTGTCCTACACACCATTTGAAGAAGGAATTCACAATTTGGATGTGAAATTTGCTGATGAACATATTCCAGGAAGCCCTTTCAAGGTTGATGTGTTACCTCCAACAGACGCGTCCAAATGCAAAGCATATGGCCCTGGCCTGAAGAGTGCAGAATTGAACAAACCTGCTAACTTCACTGTGGAAACCATAGGTAATTCTATTTTTTTAATAACATCGATAACCACATCCTGCATTTTTGTATTAACTCAAACATATTTACCAGGTGCCGGAGCTGGTGGCTTAAGTCTTGCTATCGAAGGACCATCAGAAGCAAAACTTACTTGYACTGACAATGGCGATGGAACATGCGCCGTAAACTACGTCCCAGTAGAAGAGGGAGATTACGATATACACATCAAGTTTGCAGAAGAACATATTCCCGGTAGCCCCTTCACTGCTAAAGCAGGGAAACCCATAGATCCATCTAAAGTAAAGGTTCATGGCCCTGGAGTTGACACAGATAATCCATTATTTTCAAAAGCACCACAGCAATTCACAGTTGATACGACCGAAGCT